TTTTTGATCCCATTGAAAACCTATCAGTCCTCGCGGTTAGGTAATTTCGTAGTTGAGTCAGAGGGGCAGCGCTCGCCTGCCCGCGAGGGGGCCATTGTGGATTAGCCCCCCTTGAGAAAGCGCGCAGGGCCCCCGTCGGTCACGCTCGAGCCGTCGAACGGATGGGGGGCGCATCGGGGGCCACGAGTGCGCGCGGGAGTGCGCGTGGGAGCGCTGGACGCGCGCGTCGCCCAACGACCGCAAGGTGAAGTGTCGCCGCGGCGGAGAGATCCACGGCGGCCACATGGCGTCTTGGATTCGGGCCCGCCTTGGTCGCGCCTTCGCAGCCTGCGCGGCGCGTCTCGGCAGCAGGAAGAGGCGGCGCGCGACAATGCGATAACGCTCGGGCGGCCCGCGATGCCATCCCAATGCCAAGCTTCAGGACGTCGACATGATGAAAAATTCTCAGTTTCAAAATTGTTGCGGCCCCTTGGGGGGGAGCGGCCTCGCAAAACCTCCTCCCAGACAGCGTGGTCGCTGCTCCGTCAGTGCACGAATTTCAGTGTCGTTTGCAAGCTCTAATGCGTGATGTGGCGAATTCCAGCCCTGACTGGGCGCATCTCTTCAGCTGCCGCGTCATCTCGCACATCGCCGCCTGCGCGGCTGCAGGGATTGGCTTCCCCCCGTGTAATCTCCGTCTTTCTTTGTCGCCCCTTCTTCCCTCCCTTCCCCTCCCTCCCCCTGCCTCCCCCTCTCTTTCTCCTTCTGCGTGCCGCTGTCGTCCTCGCTGTCGTCCGCCGTGTCCCTTCCTCCTCCCTCCTTTCTCCTCCGCCCCCCGGCCGCCGTGCTTGGAGAGCATGGTGCGCGCGTCGCGCGTCGCCGCCTTTCTGGGGCTTGCCCCCCCCCCGCTCGCCTCCTCTTCCTTTCTCTCTCCTCGTCGTTTGTCGTCTGCTGCTGCTCCCTCCGCCTCCCTCTCCCCCCCCCCCTTCCCTCTCCTTCTTCTTGCTCCTCCCTTCCGCTTTCCCTAGGCGTTTTGCGGCATTTTGATAGCTTCTCCAACCGGCGTTCGGCCAGCCGTGCTGCTTCCGAGCGATCCGGAAGTTTACAGCGTGAAGATGAGGCTTGTTTTTGTTGGTCTCCCTCCTTCTTCCCCCCGCATCTCTTTAAGCTGTAATTGTCTTGTGCATTGAGATTATGTTGAGACTTCAGTGTGGCTTGGTCATTCTCTGCGGGGTGCGTAGAAAAAAAAGGGGAAAGAAGGAGGGGGCAGCGAGCGACGCAGACGACCAGAGGGAAGGAGGAGAGGAGGAGAAGGGGAGGGCCGAGCCCACGCGAAGCGCGCGCCCTGCGTTCCACGCAAGGCGGCTGGGGGAAGGAGGAAAGGGGACCAGGAGGAGACGACGCAGAACAACGACAACAAACGAGCAAACGAAAACGAACGACAACGACGACGAGACACGACCAGAACAGCAAGCACGAACAAAGCAAAAGGAGAACAGGAGAGGGAAGGGAAAGAGAGAGAAGGAGAGAGGCATATAAAAAAGAGAGAAAACAACAACAGCGATACAATTTTTTGAGCCGACGCAGCAAGAAATCTTATGACCAGAAACTTGCCCGGATCGGCTGTGAGGGCTCGGCTGGTCGCGCCCTGGCCGAAAGGCTCATGAAATGCTGTGCTGCTGCCGGGCCATGCCACTGAAAAACGAGAAGCAGGACACTGCGCTCGATAAAAAAGAAGCGAACATGCACATCAAAGTTTCCACATCAAATTTCCGGACAGACCGTCCAGGTCAGCCAGGGTGAACAGAGGACGACAAATTTGAGAGCATGCCCAACGAAGCATCGCGCCGCCGGCCACCAGTCCCGGCAGCGCCGCAGGATGGTTTGCGAGAGCTCCGCGCGGGCTGAAAGGAAACGCCAATCGGTTTCCCGAGCGGACTCAGTGAGGACGCAGCACAAGAGGCTTTGGAGGTGGGACTGGAAAACCTTGGCGCTATTCGCGCGCACAACAAAATCCGGAAGAACATTGTAAGTGCGAACGGAGCCGAGGGCGGAAGGAGATAATCCGGCGCAAGCCACAAGGATCGACGAGGTGGCGGGAATGGCGGCGAGGGGGGCGGGGAGGGGGGGGAACAAGGTCCAACCGGAAGAATTGATGAAGGAGTGGCGGACTTCTTCCGAACGGACTTGTGGAAGATGCCTAGAATGGCAATGTCGCGCCGGGTGCTCAAGGGAGCAAGAGAGAAATGCAAGGGCGCATCATAATCATATATATTGATAGATCTGAACAGACAGACGGCCCTGCACGGCATCGAGGGGGGAGAGAGCAGAAGACCAGGCGAAATGAAACGCTGATGTTCTATATTCATTGTACGATAAAACATGAGATTTGTACAGTAATATAACTTCCCTGTCTGAGTAAAACCGGCAGTTGCGAAGAATATTGTGTATGCGCCAGGCGCACTCGCGAACGCAATCCGAGATTCCGTCGTGCATGAGCAGTCGAGTGTCAAAATTTATGCCCAAAATCTTAAACGAAGAACCAGCCGGGCGAAAACGGGAAACGATATGGTAGTTTTCTTTCCAGGGTCGAACAACGCTCTGTTTGCGGCCCCCCGCCTGTGTGGGCTGGTCTGACACTCGCGAGAATAAGCGAACGCTTGAGTGTCAGTGACACCCGCGTCAAGAATTTTGAAAGCGCTCATGTCGCCAGCATAAATTACCTCCTCAAAATCACACGCACGAGTGGCCATGCAAGCATCACCAAAATACACGTTCCACAACATAGGACCTAACACGGTACCCTGGTATACCATGTTTTTCCATGCGCGCTGGGTCCGACAAAGATCCCTGGGCGATGACGCGGGCGCTCCGTGGCAGGAGCCAGTTGTTCAAGACAGTAACAATGTCCGGTTGGACAGACAGCGAGCGGATCTTGTGCGTCAGCCTGCCCTTGTCGACTCTATCGAACGCAGCAGAGACGTCGGAGCAGTAAACAACCGCGCGGCGGCCGCCTGCGAAAGCGACAAGCCAACGCAAAATGAAATAAAGCACGGCGTCTCTCGCCCCGCGCTCGCAGCAGTATGCGAATTGATTCGATGCGTAGGCGCCCAAGCGCTCGAGCCGAGGGGCAAAAAGTTGGGCCAGAACACGCTCCACAGTTTTGGACAATTGCGCGGTCAACTGGATGCCTCTGTAATTGTCCGGGTCACACAGGGCAGAGCGCTTGTGCAATGGATGCACCCAATGCTCCCACCAAGCACGAGGCCAGCTTCCTGTCCGAATGATGAGCCGAGCCAGCTTGGCGACAGGAGTGGCAAGTGAATTGGCGCATTCTTTCAAAAACCTCGCTGGGATGAGGTCTGGGCCGGTCCCTGAAGCAGGGCGGAGGGCGCGGAGGAAGGCCCGACAAGCGCGAGTGCGAACGACGCAAGAAGAATTGTCTGGACCAAGTAAAAGGGACCAGCAATCCGAGAATTCATTAGACTGCGCGGCAGGCAGACGCCGTCTGTCTTGAAAAAAGCGCGAGAACACCTCGGCCTTGTCAGCCGCCCTGGTGGCCCAACTGCCGCTTGCCCGGCGCAGCGGAGACGAGGAAGACTTGTGCACGTGAGACAAAAAGGTTCTTCGAAATCTTCCACCGTATCTTAGTCCCTCTGTGCAGGCGGCGGAGCTTATCACGAGTGTGGGCAGTGTAAGACCGAAACGCACGCAAAAATAAGCGCTACAGTCAGCAACGGCCTGTGGGAATCCATCAGTGCCGGCCGCGTCCCTTTTCTTCCGCACCTGTACTAAACAGTGTTCATTGACCCACGGGTGTGCCACTTGATGAACTGCAGGGGACCGAGGCACGTGCAAGAGCATAACGCCTTTTAAAATCTGCGTGAGACACGGCGCGAGAATGTCAGGATGAGATCTGTCAATCCAACCCCAACTGTGCTCAGAAATGACTCTGTTCAGACGTCTCCAATTGGCACGTCCGAATTGCCAAAGTGTACGGGTGACAGCCTCAAACTGCAAGGGTGGGAGAGAAACGCTGGCAAGTGCAGCTCTGTGGTCGGCAACTTCTGTGAGAACAGCGACGTGCGTTAAATTGGGAGTGTCACTGAGAACTATATCTAATAAATAATTGCCTCGGGTTGGTTTCTTCGTGCACTCAGTGAACCTGTTTGTTCGGCACCGCTGGAAAAGAGCAGTGCCCTCTGGAGAAATATTTCTGCTATGGCGCAACCACCGGATGTGATGAACATTCGCATCTCCGACAATGATAGGGCCTATGCTCTGGGAACACAAGCCCAACCAGTCATCGGACAGCGATTTGATCGACTGAATTTCATTGAAGCAAGGCCGCCTATACCAGCAACATATCAAAATTGGGCCAGAATCCGAGTGAGCCAACAGCCACACTCTTTCCGCGACGGCGGACGTCAGCAGAAGACAGCAAGCAGAGGCGATTGACACGTGGGCGAAGATGACAACACCTCCACCAAGGCCGTCGCGACCCCTCCGTGCGACCAACTCATAATTGGGCACGCTAGGAAACTTACTAAAAGCATCAAGCCACGTTTCCGTGAAACACAGTAGGGAGGGAGGAGAAGACATAATGCCAAGGTAGGCTGCGACTTCTGCCTGACGCGCAAGAAAACTCTGAACGTTCGAATTGAAAATGGTGAGTTGATGCAAACTTGAGGACAGTTGCGGCGGGGCTTCTCCTCGACGACCGTCCTGGGGACACTGGAAGCCAGCGGGCTCAGAAACGACAAAAACTCAGATAGAGTTCTTTGACGATTAACAATAGTAGCTACAGGGCGAACAGGAGCAGGCAGTGAAGGGGCCGAGGCAGAAGGATGAATAAGAGAACTAAGCCGTCGTACCGAGGCTTCAGCAGAACGAGGGCCTCGGCGACGACGGATTCTTCGTGAACTCGGGGGCCGCGCGCTAAGTCCTTCGGAGTGGGCGAGTGTTCGGAAAGCAGGAGAAGGATCAGCAATGCAATCGTCCGGAGCGACCCCCCAAGACCTCTACTCGATCTTCAGATCGGAGAAACGGCTTAGAAACGTGCCTGTCAAATCAGACTTCCCCTGCTCAAATGCATTCGAGGAGTCGACGCTGACAGTGCGAGCTTTAAAATCAATGCGAACGTTCGCCTCTGCAGGAACACGAGTTGTGATCAAATCGCTCGCTTTGCGCAAAGCCCAATTCCTGTGCTGGTTCGCCTGCGACGTGGCCGGCTTGACGTGCAGGTTATCTCCGCCTGGAGAACGGACAGAAAACGGCTGACCAACGCGCAAAAATGAAATCTTTCGCGCCGTGTATCCAGCCGGAGACAAAGTCTGATTATTCGCAGGGCTCTATAAAAATTGCCCGTGCTCAAAGAATTCGCTCCTGCGTGCTGCTTGACAAAGTCTTCAATCGTCTGCAGTCTCGCTGCGGCGTTCGTGCTGTCCGAGAAACCGACATAGGCAACTCGACGATGGGATGCATCCATCGAATTGAGAAATTGCATGAATTTCGGAGACAGCTTGCTGGATTCTCCACGCGCCTCGACTGCCTGCAAACGCTCCCGGAACGTGTTCATCTCGTCTTTCAGCGGGTCAACTGCATCTGAAATTTCAACCTTTGTCTCCTGGCGAATGGCAGTGTGGAAAGCGTTCAACTCCTGTTTCAGATTGTCCTGGGTCAGCAAGTGCGACATCTGAGAACTCATGCCTTCCATTTTCATCGTCATCTGCTCCAGCTTTGCCATGATCGGATCGATCTGGCCAGCAGCACTGCTCGATGCCATGAAAGACGCACCGGGGCCGCCACCCGCAGGGCCAGTCCCGGGAGCCGCATGCATGCCACCCGAAGGGCCGTTGCATGCACCAGGGCCGCCACCCGTGGCCAGCGCTGGGAGCAACCGCCGCAACGGCAGCGGCGCTCGGCTCAGCACCGGGACCGCCGCAACCAGGGCTGATCCCGGGAGCCACATGCATGCCGCCCAAAGAGCCTTTGTGCATGCGCCGGAATGGCCACTTGAAAGGCCCACTCCGGGAGCGACCGCTGCAGAGGCAGCAGTGCTCGGCTCTGCGTTCCCGCTGCCCGCGCCTGGAAAGGCTGGCGCGGGATGAAACTCGACGTCCATGATGTCCTCTGTTCTCGACTTCTTCGGCTCAGGAGTGCCGCCGGGCGAACGGGCGAGCGCTGCCTTCACAGCATTAGCTGTGCTGGACAAGCACCCCAGAGGACCCTTGGATCCTCCTTTCCCACCCTGCGGGAAGAAACTCTCAGAGAAGTCCGTCGCCTCGCCTGGGAGAGCAGCGGCGGCAGCGCCGGGCATTGCGACGAGAACTTGAATGGAAGGATGAAGATATGACCTCCCCAGCGACAGGCTTCACAACAGACCGCCCCAGCGACAGGCTTCGATTGAATAGCTCGTGCCACAATAGCTCGTGCCACAATAGCTCGTGCGTTATTTTTCGTTCTCCGTCTGCAGAGCGCGTATGGAGTTTAATGCGCACTGAGACGGGCCCGTTTTAATTTGTTGTTGGTATCGTCGCCCGTGTCATGGAGAGACTCATTCGATTGAGTCGCTTAGAGATGAATGGAATTCTCTTACCGGGCAGTGCATAGGTTGTATACGCAGGAGATATGAATGTTCATCACAAACACTGGTTGCGATTCAGCAGCCATGTATCCCCTGAGGGCACCATTTCAAGAATTGGTGTTTTGAGCGCGGTTTTCGCGAGTGCATTCGCGCTCCTAGTGGTCCTTACCTCCTTGATCTCTTCTTGTCGGACGTTCCAGATCTAATCGCTGCGAAGGTTTTCACTGAAGTAGCTGATCATAGTGCTACGCTTGCTTCTGTTTGTATGCCGCCGTTGTCTTTTGAATACGGTGAGCGACGTTTTTGGTTGTTTCAAAGCGCCGCAGGATTGGTCTTGGATAGACAATTCCACACCTGAAATGGTCGTTTCTTGTTTAACCCAGATGTTGAAATGCTTATGAATTTATATATTCCGTCGATTCTGAGCAGAGCGTGCAAGTTTCACATCACATCCCTGGCTGTCTGATGAATGTTTATTGGCAGTGCGTGCTAAGCGCGATGCTGCTGGTACGGCCGCTTTTCCGGCGGCGGTCGTTCATTGCAGTGCAGTAGTGTTGAATGCTTTTCAATCTTACACGACCCGCACGCGTCAGCAGTTGCGCGGCTGTGGCCGGGGCGCAAAAAATGGTGGAAAGTTTCACATCAGCTGCTGTCTCACGTCCATAAGCCTACTTCTTCCCCTTTGAAGCGTCCAGATGGTACGTGGGCTCTTTCTGCACGTGCCAAGGCCGACCTCTTTGCCAGAGCTTTCAGTCAAAAGTGGCGTCTGCCAGCACCTGTAGCTAACGAATTGTTTGATTTCTCTGCTATGATTCGCCTTCGCAGTGGGGAACTTGCATTCTTCGTACTCGGTCTGCTCGCGACGCGCTGTCGTCCCTCCGACAGGACAGCGGCACGGGTCCCGACCTCTTGCTTGCGAGGGTTTTGAAGCAGTGGAGCTCCAGTTTGGCAGTGCCTGTCGCTAAGCTTGCCCGTCTTATTTTAAGAACTGGTCAGTGGCCGTTGCCTTGGAGAGAGCACTGGGTCCACCCTCTTCACAAGAAGCTTGCAGTTAGCTGTCCGGACAACTACCGGGGCATCCAGTTGACCGCTCAGCTTTCGAAGGTCGTGGAGCGAATGTTTCTAGAACTCTTCAGTCCGCAGCTGGACAGGTTTGGTGCTTATGGCGCGCGTCAGTTTGCCTACGCTCCCGGCAGAGGGGCGCGCGATGCAATCTTATATTTTGCTTTGCAATGCATCAGTGCTCTTTCCTCTGGCCGCCGCGTCCTCTTGTGCTGCTCTGACGTCAGTGGTGCCTTTGATCGAGTCGATGTGCCCCGTCTGCTCGCCAAGCTGCGCGGGTTCTCTGTCCCTGAAAGCGTGCTTGGTGTTCTCGCTAGCTGGCTGGAGAGACGCACGGCGCGAGTCATCGCTCAGGGCAAGCAATCAGATCCGGTCCGCATGGAAAATATGATTTACCAAAGCTCTGTGCTTGCACCGCCGCTTTGGAACGCATTTTTTTCTGATTCTTGCATGGCGGTTCGCGCCGCAGGATTCGAAGAATTGGTTTATGCTGACGACCTTAATGCTTTCCGCGCGGTCGATAATAGTGTTACAGACGACCAGGCGCATCGCATGTTAGCTGAATGCCAAGCTTCCCTTCACCGCTGGGGCGAAGCTAACAGGGTTGTGGTCGATCCTGGAAAGGAAACCATGCACATTATCTCGCGCAGCCGGCCTTTTGGATATTATTTTAAGCTTCTTGGCGTCGTCTTCGATTCCAGGCTTCTTATGCACGAAGCAATTTTGTCTTGTGTCAGCGACTGTGGATGGAAAAATCCGGAGTCTTCTTCGTAGCCGCAGATTTTATAATACCGTTGACATTATCTTATTATATAAGTCCCAAGTTTTATCCTTTATCGAATACAGGACATGTGCATTTCATTTCGCCTCCTCTTCTGCTCTCGCCCCTCTGGGCGCCGTTCAGCACCGATTTCTCCAGTCTCTGGCAGTTTCAGACCTTGATGCATTACTGCATTTTGCCTTGGCTCCGCTCCCTGTCAGACGAGACATCGCCATGCTTGGCGTTATCCATCGTTCTGTATTTGGCAGCCCGGGCCACTTCTCCTCCTTCTTCCGCCCGGCTCCTCCCCCCCCCTCGTTCCCCTCGCCGCCGCGCCCGGCATCTGGCGGACCCCCTCCCGCTTCGCGCCCCCGATTTTGCCCGACATTCTGCGTTGGGTTTAGTCAGCGTTTCCAACCTTCTGCCGGACAGCGTAGTCGCCGCGCCATCTGTGCACGAATTTCAATCTTGTCTCCAGGCTTTACTGCGAGACATCGCTAACTCAGGCACTGCTTTGGCCGACCTTCTCAGCTGTCGCCTTCCGTTCGCGCATCATCCTCTGCGCCGCTGCAGGGACTGGCAGCCTCCCGCCTAGTCGCTTCGTCTTCTCGTCTCCCCCCTCCCTCCATTCTCTTCCCCCCCCTGGCCGCCGTGCTTGGAGAGCATGGTGCGCGCGTCGCGCGTCGCCGCTTTTTGGGGCCTGGCCCCCCCCGCTCGCCTCCTCCTCCTCCTCCTCCTCCTCCTCCTCCTCCTCCTCTCTCTCTCTCTCTCTCTCTCTCTCTCTCTCTCTCTCTCTCTCTCTCTCTCTCTCTCTCTCTCTCTCTCTCTCTCTCTCTCCCTCTCTCCTCGTCGTCCTCTTCTTCTTCTTCTTCTTCTTCTCTCTCCCGCAACACTTTAAGCAAGAAGTTTCTTGTGCGTTCTGACAATGTTGGGACTTCAGTGTGGCTGGGTTCATTCGCTGCGAGGTGCGTGGAAACAAATGCACAGAGGGGCTGAGACATGGTGGGAGATTTCGAAGACTTTCTTGGTCACGCACAAGCCTTCCTCGTCTCGACTACGCCTGGCAAGCGGCAGTTGGGCCACCAAGGCGGCTGACAAGGCCGAGGTGTTCGCGCTCTTTTCAAGCTAGACAGCGTCTGCGCAGTGTAATGAATACTCGGATTGCTGGTCCTTTTTACTAGGTCCAGACAATTCTTCCTGCGTCGTTCGCACTCGCGTTTGTCGGGCCTTCCACCGTGCTCTCCGCCCTGCCTCAGGGGCCAGCCCGGACCTCATCCCAGCGAGGTTCTTGAAATAATGCGCCGCTTCACTTGCCACTCCTGTCGCCAAGCTTGCTCGGGTCATCATTCGGACAGGATGCTGGCCTCGTGCTTGGTGTGAGCATTGGTGTATCCTTTGCACGAGCGCTCTGCCCTGTGTGGCCCGGACAATTACAGAGGCATCCAGTTGATCGCGCACTTGTCCAAAGTTCTGGAGCGTGTTCCGGCCCAACTTTTTGTCCCTCGGCTCGAGCGCTTGGGCGTCTACGGATCGAATCAAGTCGCATACTGCCGCGAGCGCGGGGCGAGAGATGCCGTGCTTTATTTCATTTTGCGTTGGCTTGTCGCTTTAGCAGGCGGCCGCCGCGTGGTTGTTTATTGTTCCGATGGCTCTGCTGCGTTCGATAGTGTCGACAAGGGCGGGCTGATGCACGAGGTCCGTTCGTTGTCTGTCCAACCGGACATTGCTATTGTCTTGGACAGTTGGCTCCTGCCACGGAGCGCCCGCGTCGTCGCGTGTATTTTAGTGATGCTTGCATGGCCACTCGTGCGTGTGATTTTGAGGAGGTAATTCATGCTGATGACCCGAAGGCTTTCAGAATTCTTGTCGCGGGTGTCACTGACCCTCAAGCGTTTGGGTATTTTCGCGAGTGTCAGACCAGCTTACACAGGTGGGGGGCCGCAAACAGAGTGTTGTTCGAGCTTGGGAACCATGTCGTTTCCCGTTCTCGCCCGGCTGGTTCTTCGTCTAAGATTTTGGGCATCAATTTTGACACTCGACTGCTCGTGCACGACGGAATCTCGGATTGCGTTGGCGAGTGTGGTTGGCGCATACACAGTATTCTTCGCAACCGCCGGTTTTACTCAGACAGTGGAGTTATATTACTGTACAAATTTCATGTTTTATCGTACATTGAATATAGAACATGAGCGTTTCATTTCGCCTCGTCTTCTGCTCCTTCCCCCCTCGATGCCGCGCAGGGCCGTCTGGTAAGATCTGTTAATATATCTGATCATGATGCGCTCTTGTATATTTCTTGCCCCCTTGCGCACCCGCCGCGACATTGCCATTCTAGGCGTCGCCCGCAGGCCCGTTCTCGGAAGAGGTCCGCCGCTCCATCATCAATTCTTCCGGTTGGACCCTGTTCCCCCCCCTCCCCGCTCCCCTCGCGCCGTTCCCGCCGCCTCGTCGATCCTTCTGGCTTGCGGTCGCTCGATTATCTCCTTCATTCCGCCCTCGGCTCTGTTCGCATTTACAATATTCTTCCGGCTTTTGTTGTGCGCGCGAATAGCGTCAAGGTTTTCCAGTCCCTCCTCCAAAGCCTCTTGTGCTGCGTCCTCACTGAGTCCGCTCGGGGAACCGATTGGCGTTCCCTCTTCAGCCCGCGCGGAACTCTCGCAAGCCATCCCCCGCGGCGCTGCCGGGACTGGAGGCCCGCGGCGTGATGCTTTGCTGGGCATTTTCTCACATTTGTCGTCCTCTGTTCACCCGGCCTGACCTGGAAGGTCTGTCCGGAAATTTGATGTTAAAAATTTGATGTGTATGTTCGTTTTTCTTGGGGGTGTTTTTAAAATCGAGCGTAGTGCCCTTCTTCTTCTTCTTCTTCTTCTTCTTCTTCTCGTTTTTCAGTGCGGCATGGCCCGGCAACAGT